CTTACGATAGAAGTTCCCAAATCCTAGGAACCTCTGCACATCCTTCTTTGTTTTGGGTGTTTTCCATTCCAGTACCGCCTGGACCTTGCCGGGATCCATGGCCAATCCCTTGTCTGACAGGCGATACCCCAGGAATTCCACCTCCTTGGTATGAAACTGACACTTCTCCAGTTTCACCCACAGCTGGTTGGCTTGCAGCCTGCTCAACACTTCTCTGACGTCTCTCACATGCTGCTCCTCATTCTCAGAATACACCAACACGTCGTCTAAAGGCCACACAATTCTTGTAAAGCAAAGGCCCCAGGACGTGGTTCATAAACGATTGAAATGTTGCGGAGCCTGCTTGTAGGCCGAAGGGCATAACCAAATATTCAAATGCCCCTAAAGGGGTGAACATAGTGGTTTTCCATTCATCCCCCTTCCTTATTCGTACCAGGTTGTACGCCCCCCTTAGGTCCAGCTTTGTGAAAATCTTTCCCTTCCGCACCCTTGTCAAAATGTCGTCAATCCTGGGCATAGGGAAGGCTACTGGTTCTGACACTGCATTTAAGGCCCTGAAGTCACACACCAGCCTCGGCTTGTTCGTGTTTTCTTATCCACAAAAAACACTGGGCTGCCCCCACCGCCCTGGACTCTCTGATGAACCCTCTCTTCAGGTTCTTGTCAATGAACTCTCTTAACTCCTGCATCTCTCTGTCTGACATGGCGTACAGCTTGCCTACAGGGAGCTGTGCTCCAGGGAGTAAGTTGATTTGACAGTCAAAGGGTCTATGCGGGGTTAGTTGGTCAGCTTCCCTTTCGCTGAAGACGTCACGGAGATCTGCATATTGTCGTGGTACCTTCACGTTCTCTGTTACTTCAGTCCCTGCTAGGGCGGCTTGGACCCCTGCCAAACCCTTTCCCTCTTTGCAGTGTTCTAAGCAATGTGCTGAACCAAAAGAAACCACTCTCTGATGCCAGCCCACCAGCGGATCATGTAACGCTAGCCAGCTCATCCCCAATATAATGGGAGCTCCTCCCAAGGTGGCCACATTAAAAGCTATCAGTTCGGTGTGCCTTGCTACCTTCATTATCATTGGGACGGTCTGCAAGCTGACTTCTCCACCCAACAGCTCCCTGCCATCGATCGTGGTAACCTGCAGGGGGCTGCTTAAAGGATTGTCTGTATCTGGTGTTCAGCTGCAAACTCTTTGCTCATGAAATTGCAGGAGCTGCCTGAGTCCAACAGCGCCTTTATCTTTAGAGGGTGTCCGTTTGGCAGCTCTAGCGTCACTTCTATCACTAGGGCGGGTTTAGGAGGTTCTGGCGTGGGCACTCTCACTGCTCTTTGGCCTGGCTGCTGTGCCCTGACAGTGGCAGCCAGGCGTTGGCTTTACTTGCTCCGGTATTTTTCCTCTCTTCCATCCACAGCTCCTACCATCCCTTGCCATTCTTTCCTCTGGGGGCAGACTCTGGCAAAGTGACCTGGCTGTTGGCAGAGATAGCATTTCCGGGCGCCTTTTCCCTCCTTCTTTGCCCCCTCACTGGGCTTTGAAACTGCGCGCGCGCGCTGTTCCGATTTCCATCGGCTCTGCCGGTGGGAAAGTTGGCTCTGGAATGTCTGGAATGCGGAACTCCTTCCAACGTTCCCCTTTCCCTTCCCGCCTCTCCAATGCTCTCGCCTCCTGGCGCGCTCCTATGGCCAGCGCTGATTTGGTCAGCTGGTCCATAGACTCCGCCCTGGGCGCCCGGGAAAGTTCGTCTTTCACAGCCGAAGAAAGCCCTTCTTCAAAGAGCATTTGAATGGGTTCCGCCGATAAGTCCCACCCCAATCTGTGAACAAGCATGGTGAACTCAGTCCAGTACTCACGGACAGATCGGCTCCCCTGTTTGCAACCCATTAACTGTCTGCGCACCACTCCCTTTTCAATATCGCTGGAAAACATCAGATCCATGGCGCGAAAGAACTTCATCGTGTCCTTTAAGACGTCACTATTCGCTGCCATCAGGGGTCTAACCCAGTCTCTCGCCCCCTTTTCAAGATGCTCAATCACGAAAGCCACTCGTGATTCCTCGTCAGGGAATTCATCCAACTGCAGATTGAGGGCATATTGCATTTCTGTCCGAAAACCATGTTAGTGTGTGGGCTCCCCCCCAAACTTCTGCACCAATCCTGGTACCTTTCTGGCGAACTGGGTGGCTTTCCCCCTTTTGTCTGCATCCTGAGCCCTCCTCTCCTCAAGCCTCGCCGTCTGCATCGCTAGCTGGACCTCCAACATCTGGTACCTTTCTTCCAGGCTTGGACCCGCTCCAGCTCCTGCTTCTCCGGTTCCGGCTGGGTTGCTCATGATGCCTTCTCCTGCACAAGCTGCTTTCAAAGACTGTCGGAATGCTGTGATGGGATGATGAGCTGCTTGTGCGTAAAATCGTATTAGCTCAGAGTTTGTTCAATTCCACAAACCTCTGTCTGTGTCTGATCCCCTCAGAGATGGCTGCTCTAGTCACTAGCAGATTCCGACAGTGGTTGCTTTCGTAATCGCTTCCAACATAAAAGCTCCTTAACGGAAACACGTCTTCTGGAATCTCTGCGTGACAGTTTCCGGCGAGGAGTGGGTGTTCTTACAGGAGGTTCTGAAACCTCCCCACTGTTTTCGCTGGAAGTGTCTCTGAGCCATCCCTCCAGCTCAGCTCCTCTCCCCCTGCTGGTTCCTTCTTCAGCTGCTGCGTCTCTCCCAACCTGTGTGAGCCCTTTCACCTCCCTGTTGGTTCCCTCTTCAGCTGCTGCGTCTCTCCCAACCTGTGTGAGCCCTTTCACCTCCCTTCCGTCCGATGGCAGTTCCCTGACAGGGGGCATTCCACAGGGCGGGCGCCACTACCGAGAAGGCCCTCTGCCTGGTTCCCTGTAGCTTTGCTTCTCGCAATGAGGGAACCACCAGCAGGCCCTCGGCGCTGGACCTCAGTGTCTGGGCAGAACGATGGGGGTGGAGACGCTCTTTCAGGTATACTAGGCCGAGGCCATATAGGGCTTTAAAGGTCAACACCAGCACTTTGAATTGTACTCAGAAATGCACACAATATATAAAACAAAACCATGTTACACTGCCCATTTCAAATAACCAAGTTGAATTTATTCGGACATGTTACAGGACTATGGGAAATCAAGATTCGAGGAATCTGAGGGCTCTGATTCTGAAGCCTCCTTCCACCGCCATGTATTCAAGGACCCTCAGGCCCAGCCGGTTGGGGAAGGAGATCTCATGTTTGTCGTCCAGGAGCACCATAATCTCAGAAGTAAGGAATGCGAAGGAAAGCTGCAAGAAGCAGAGAGGGAGGCGTCAACGCAGGACACTGAACCGTTTTTTAAATGACCTGGCAACATTTTAACTTCTAAAATTGGAACAGTCTGCTTCAGGAGGTGGTGGACTCTCCTTCCTTGAAGGTTTTTAAGCAGAGGTTGGATGGCTATCTGTCATGGATGCTTTAAGTTGAGATTCCTGCATTGAAGGGGTTGGAATATATGACTCTTGGGGTCCCTTCCAACTCTACAATTCTATGATTCTAAAGGAATGGCAGTCACTGTTTTCGACAGTGCAAGTTGGCCATTCTGGGTTTCCCTTTCCTGACAACAGCACAAAAGGCTGCTTTGACCCCCAAGGCTTTTCCACTGCTGATGAGTCTGTAGTACAGTGGTACTTCTGGTTGCGAACGGGATCTGTTCTGGAGGCCCGTTTGCAACATGAAAAGAGCGCAACTCGCAGCGGCGCATCTGCACATCGCGAGCGGCGAAACCCGGAAGTAACTCCTTCTGGTACTTCCGGGTTGCCTCAGGACGTAATCTGAAAGAACGTAACATGAAGCGGACGTAACATGAGGTATGACTGTACAGTGGTACCTCGGGTTAAGTACTTAATTCGTTCCGGAGGTCCGTTCTTAACCTGAAACTGTTCTTAACTTGAAGCACCACTTTAGCTAATGGGGCCTCCCACTGCTGCCGCGCCGCCGGAGCACGATTTCTGTTCTTATCCTGAAGCAAAGTTCTTAACCTGAAGCACTATTTCTGGGTTAGCGGAGTCTGTAACCTGAAGCGTATATAACCTGAAGCGTATGTAACCCGAGGTACCATTGTACATCAAAGCCCAAGGACCAAGACAGCCACATTTTTACGTAAGAGTCACTTGTACCAAAAACGTCTCTACCTGACTTGCAATATATATATGTAAGTGTATAAGCATAGGCTACTTTGGAGCATATTTTCTTTTCTTGTGATTTTGGCATTTATGCCAGAAGACAATTATTAGAGACCTTACAACTCAATAGGCTGATTTCTATGCCACCAGCGGTTCAGGACCTGCTTTCAGACAGGAATGAACAAATTACTTTAATAGTGGCTGAATTTTTGAGTGCTGTCCATGTAGAGAGGCTGGGTCATTATAAAGAGAATTAGTGGTTCTTAACTGATTGGGGATTTGGTAGTGCTGTATTGTATTATTTATGCAAATTGATTTTCTCTGGGGTTAAAGATCTGACCCGGACAAACCTTGTTATGTTGAGCTCGTATGTTGCACAATTTGTATACGGTGTCTGTTTGATAATGTGTGGTTTGCTATGCCTAATAAAGGATCTTGATTGATAAGCATAGGCTTTTATATTTTTATTTTTTAAAAGCATCGTAATAAAAACACATGGAATTCATAAGCATCCACAAAACAAAGGCGATGATCATTTCATTTGCGAGCCCTTGTAATTAAAAGTGGGACGCAACTGTTGTTCAGACAGGCCAGGTCCCCCAACACTGGCATTCCAGTTGTTCTGCCCATATAAAATGAACCCTCCTATAAAACATGGAGGCATCCCACTTTTGCATGTGCCAGGGAAAGTAAACCTGTGTCGTCGTCCCCTCCAGACGTTGTTGGCCTGTTGGTCCCATCATGCCTGACCATCAGCCATGCTAGCCAAGGCTTATGGGAGCTGGGATTATAATGTCATCTGGAAGGCTACAGATGTTCCTCCCTCCACAGGGAACTCCAGGAGAAGCTGGCTGCCTGCCTGGCTCCATTTGATCTACTGCTAAGACCTCACCTGAACTCTGCCGCCTTGCTCAAAAGGGAACTTGGAGATGCTCTCCTCCTCTTCCCCCCACAGCCCATTTTCCTTGGAGTTGCATACAATGGTGTTCCGGCACTTCTGGGGGTCAAAGTGCGGGTTGAAGTGAAGAACGAGGTTCTCAGGGTCTTGGCCCAGTTTCACAACAAATCTTGAAGAGGTTTGAAAGTTATGAAAGAAACAAGAATAGCAAACGTGAGAGGCTTACTGGACTTCAGCACCAAAAACAACAACAGGGCCCTTCTCCTAAGTTCACATGCTTGCCATGCTATGAGAATATTGAGAACATTTTTACATGCCACCTCAACGTCTGAAGGGCGTGAGATTCCAGGGGTTTCAAGCGCTTACCAGGGTTCGCTTTTCCTTCAGAATGAGGTGCAGCAGAGACTGAACTGCCTTTATGGTTTATTTGCACATATATACAACCTAAACCTATGAAGGAGTGTCTCCACCTCCATTGTTCCACCTGGACACTGAGGTCCAGCGCCGAGGGCCTTCTGGCGGTTCCCTCACTGCGAGAAGCCAAGTTACAGGGAACCAGGCAGAGGGCCTTCTCGGTGGTGGCACCCACCCTGTGGAACGCCCTCCCACCAGATGTCAAAGAGAAAAATAACTACCAAACTTTTAGAAGACATCTGAAGGCAGCCCTGTTTAGGAAAGCTTTTAATGTTTAATAGGTTATTGGATTTTAGTGTTCTGTGGCTGGGGAAACCCAGCCAGATGGGCGGGGTATAAACAAACAAACAAACAAACAAACAAACAAACAAACAAACAAACAAATAAATAAGGTTCACATTAACAACCCCTTTGCTTCCCGCTTAGATGCAGCCTTGGATTCAAGCAGAAATCAGGCACAGCTCTATCTCCCTGGTTTCCCAGCCTGCTGCTTCTAGCTTCTAGGTCACATAACTCAACTCTCTCTTCCAGTCTTTGTCTTTGTAACTACCAGCGACTTGGGCGGGGGGGGGGTTGGGAAACACCCATTTGCCCTCTGGCACCGAGCCACTTCCTTTGCTACCTGAACGACCCATAGGTAAAGGTAAAGGCACCGCTAACCATTAGGTCCAGTCGCGGATGATTCTGGGGTTACGCCGCTCATCTCGCTTTATTGGCCAAGGGAGCTGGCATACAGTTTCTGGCGAACCAGAGCAGCGCACGGAAACGCTGTTTACCTTCCCACCAGAGCGGTACCTATTTATCTACTTGCACTTTGACGTGCTTTCGAACTGCTAGGTTGGCAGGAGCAGGGACCGAGCAACGGGAGCTCACCCCGTCATGGGGATTTGAACCGCCGACCTTCTGATCGGCAAGCCCTAGGCTCAGTGGTTTAACCCACAGTGGGCCATTAGGAATAACCAGGAATCTTGCCTGGCTAGTCTAGGAATTGTATCCATTCTGGATCCAAGAATTAGAAGGGGATCCAGGCCTATAGCCTAAACCCACCTCAAATTCATATACTGTGCTGGATTTGGGCTTCATGCAAACACTTTAAAAATTAAAAATAAAGCACGGTTCTAGTACTCATGGTTGCAGAGATTCACTCAGGAATTATCTACCTGGAGCTTGTTATAGACCAATGAGGTGTCAGGATGGAGCCCAAGATCTGCATAATGTGTCTGCCAATCCCTGTAATTCTTAAATTACTTAACTCAACATCAATATCCCTGTATCCCACATTCACCATTACATAATTTACAACAGCCTTGTAAGGAAGGCCAACATCCCCCTGCTGAAGATGAGGGGGCTATGGGAAGGCAACTTGGTTAATGGGACCAAGTAAGGTAGGCAGGATCGCCAAAGAATTGATGCTTTTGAGTGATGGTGCTGGAGGAGACTCTTGAGAGTCCCATGGACTGCAAGAAGATCAAACCTCTCCATTCTTAAGGAAATCAGCCCTGAGTGCTCACTGGAAGGACAGATCGTGAAGCTGAGACTCCAGTACTTTGGCCACCTCATGAGAAGAGAAGACTCCCTGGAAAAGACCCTGATGTTGGGAAAGATGGAAGGCACAAGGAGAAGGGGACGACAGAGGACAAGATGGTTGGACAGTGTTCTCGAAGCTACCAGCATGAGTTTGACCAAACTGCAGGAGGCAGTGGAAGACAGGAGGGCCTGGCGTGCTCTGGTCCATGGGGTGACGAAGAGTCGGACACGACTAAACGACTAAACAACAACAACAACAACAACAACAACAAGGTACGCAGGTTCTAGACAAGAGAGTTAGGATGCTATAGGAAAGGCATCTTCAAATGTTTTGAAGGGCTTGCCATGCTGATGGAGCAAGTTTATTTTGTTGCTGGCTACTGCATACTATAACCTGGTACCCTCCAGAATAATCAGCAGTTCTCAACCTGTGGGTCCCCAGATGTTGTTGGACTACAACTCCCATCATCCCTGAGCTCTGGCCTTGCTAGCTAGGGCTGATGGGAGTTGTAGTTCAACAAGATCTGGGAACCCACAGGTTCAGAAAGACTGCTCCAGATGTTTTGGGAACTCTCATCGGCCCTAGCCAGCTGGTAGAAACTAAGATTTCATCTACACATCAGCACAGGGTGGGAGGAACCTGTTTAAGCCCAGTGGGGAGGTGGTTTGCATTCCTTCCTAGGTAACATGCCAACAGCAGGCAGTGCCAGAGGCAGAAGAAGGTAGGCAAATACATTTTACTTTTGTGCAGTAGGGTGTTTTCTCCATACACCCAGGCACAGCCCTCTTGCAATCTCTCTTCTAATTTACTCTCCATTTTAAGGGTGTGGCTGTAGTAGGAAATCAGGTAAAAAAACATGAGAGGATCTGTGTTCTGCATCCTTGTTTAGAACATGATTCGCCCTTCCATGCCCTGTTTTAATAAACCAGGTGCTTCGGCATTCAGCTTAAGATCTTGGTACAGGTGTGAATTGCTATGTCCTGGACACATGACCAGGGCAGAGCTTGCCTGGCATACATAAGAGATTCTCCACTCTCAGAAGCACGTTTAAGGGCTATGTACACACAGTGGGTTAAACCACAGAGGCTAGGACTTGCCGATCAGAAGGTTGGAGGTTCGAATCCCCGTGACGGGGGGGGGGGGGGTAAAGGAGAATTAAATAACAAAAGAAGTGTGGTTTAGGCGGTGGAAGTCTTTTAAGATATTTCAATTAAGATTTGTATTTTATAATGTGTGTGAGCGTAACTCTGGAATTACTGTTTAGGGAAAACAGCATTTTCTTTTTGTTTTTTTCCCTTTTCATAGAATCATAGAATCATAGAGTTGGAAGAGACCACAAGGGCCATCGAGTCCAACCCCCTGCCAAGCAGGAAACACCATCAGAGCACTCCTGACACATGGTTGTCAAGCCTCTGCTTAAAGACCTCCAAAGAAGGAGACTCCACCACACTCCTTGGCAGCAAATTCCACTGTCGAACAGCTCTTACTGTCAAGAAGTTCTTCCTAATGTTTAGGTGGAATCTTCTTTCTTGTAGTTTGGATCCATTGCCCGTGTCCGCTTCTCTGGAGCAGCAGAAAACAACCTTTCTCCCTCCTCTATGTGACATCCTTTTATATATTTGAACATGGCTATCATATCACCCCTTAACCTCCTCTTCTCCAGGCTAAACATGCCCAGCTCTCTTAGCCGTTCCTCATAAGGCATCGTTTCCAGGCCTTTGACCATTTTGGTTGCCCTCCTCTGGACACGTTCCAGTTTGTCAGTGTCCTTCTTGAACTGTGGTGCCCACAACTGGACACAGTACTCCAGGTGAGGTCTGACCAGAGCAGAATACAGTGGCACTATTACTTCCCTTGATCTAGATGCTATATTCCTATTGATGCAGCCCAGAATTGCATTGGCTTTTTTAGCTGCCGCATCACACTGTTGGCTCATGTCAAGTTTGTGGTCAACCAAGACTCCTAGATCCTTTTCACATGTACTGCTCTCAAGCCAGGTGTCCCCCATCTTGTATTTGTGCCTCTCATTTTTTTTGCCCAAGTGCAATACTTTACATTTCTCCCTGTTAAAATTCATCTTGTTTGTTTTGGCCCAGTTCTCTAATCTTTTCTTTTTTAGTTTCTTCTTACTCTTTATGTTTGGCAAATATGTAAATAATTATGTTTTTTGCAGATATGTCTGGAAATTTGATTGTATTATTCAATAAAGTTATATTTTAAATTATAAAAAAAGAGGTACCGCTCCGGCAGGAAGGTAAACGGCGTTTCCATGCACTGCTCTGGTTCGCCAGAAGCGGCTTAGTCATGCTGGCCACATGACCCGGAACCACATGTCCCTCAGCCAATAAAACGAGATGAGCGTCGCAACCCCAGAGTCGGCCATGACTGGACCTAATGGTCAGGGGTCCCTTTACCTTGACCTTTTACACAGTGTGCCTACACGCAAGTTCCTGGAGACAGGCGATGCTCCACCCCTTCCCTACTCACTCTTTGGCATCTGGCAGGATCCTTCCTTTTATCTGGACCATGTCTCCATGCAGGACTTGAAACTCAGTGGCAACCACTCCCTATAGCAAGGGAAACGAGAGACATTTTTCAACCGCAGTGGTGGCAGGGTGAGATTCAGGAGGGGAAGGGGGAAGGGAAATTAATGCTCTTACAGTCTTTGTCCTGGAAATAAGGTGAGCCCAGGGACCTCCGAGCAGACTTGGCGGTTGCTGCAAAAGGAGAACAAAAGGAAGCCGTCAACAATAGACAGACAGACAGACAAGAGCATAGATAGCATTGGTTAGAGCAGTGCTAGGGAACCTGTGCAGGAATTTTAACACTAGGGTTAATAGAATGAGCTGCCTCCAGGAACTCTGCTTTAGGGCAGCCTACAAATACTGTAAGGGAAACGGGTGGCGCTGTGGTCTAAACCACAGAGCCTAGGGCTTGCCGATCAGAAGGTTGGCGGTTCAAATCCTGCGATGAGGTGAGCTCCTATTGCTCGGTCCCTGCTCCTGCCAACCTAGCAGTTCGAAAGCACGAAGTACAAGTAGATAAATAGGCATTTCCTATTCCAGCGGGAAGATAAATGGCATTTCCGTGCGCTGCTCTGGTTTGCCAGAAGCGGCTTAGTCATGCTGGCCACATGATCTGGAAGTTGTACGCCGGCTCCCTCGGCCAATAAAGCGAGATAAGCACCGCAACCCCAGAGTCGGTCACGACTGGACCTAATGGTCAGGGGTCCCTTTACCTTTTACAAATACTGTAAGTGAACCATAAAATAGATGACTTAGCCATGTTCACTCAAATACCCTTCTCAAATCCCACGTTTTCCTACTAGGTCCTTTACAGAATTTATATCTCGCCCTTTCTCCTGCCCCAGTGAGCAGCTGACCTGCTGCATTTTGCGGTAGCTGCTGCTTCTGGACCTACTTTAGAAGCAGTATAATGAAATTTGGAACATATTTACAAATATATGGTTATAAATAACCCTACATGTATTTGGATAATAACATTTATATGCCTGTATTCTAGAGAAGCACTTGTGGAATTGTAGTTGATTGCATATATAGTGATATAATACACCTTTTTCTCTTTATGACTTTTTTTTTTACTTAATTTTGCTCAATTGAAATGCTTTCAATAAAAAATTAAAATAAAGAACCCAGAAGCAGCCAGAGAAACAGAGGCTAGAAGTCAGAGATATAAGAGTTAGCAGCTGAGAAACAATCATGCTCTTCCCTAGAGAGAACAAGCCTCCTATTAATCCTTCTAAATTTCCAGGATAGTTCTATTGCACTTGGTGGTATTACAGCTTCAATAGCAACTGCCTCCTATACTAACAACCACAAAAATGGACATACAAGACTCACGGGCTGCATGATGATCTCTTCCAAGGGTGCAGCAAATAACCAAAACTTTATTCCTTCCAACCTCTGCAAAAGAAGCCCCACTTACACCTTAAATAGCTGAGGCTTGTTTTCAAGGTCCTTTTAAACTGCATCATGTGATAAAAAGGGTTTGCAGTGAGTGGAGCGTCTTCTCCTCTCTCTAGCAATGCAAGGTGGAGAAAATCAGAGCCAATAGGCTAAACAGCTGGCCTGTTTCTGATGACTGGGAACCAGTGCCGGATTTACGTATGAGCTAAACAAGCTATAGCTTAGGGCCCCACTCTCTTGGGGGCCCCCAAGCAATTTAAAGGGGGGAAACTGGATGTACATTTCCAAAATATAAGGTAAAAAACAAATAAAATGGTTTTAGATACCTATTAGGTCCATAAATTACCATATATTCAACACAAAAAACAGCGACAATTTGTTGTTGACAAAGGACAGATGGACATAAAGGGCCCCATTACCTTCAGTAGCTTAGGGCCTCATCAAACCTAAATCCGACCCTGCTGGGAACACACCTGATAAGCTCAAACAGCTGGTGCTATTTCTTTACGCCAGCCTAGTACCTCCAGAAAGGGACGCGGGTGGCGCTGTGGGTTAAACCACAGAGCCTAGGACTTGCCGATCAGAAGGTCGGTGGTTTGAATCCCCGTGACGGGGTGAGCTCCCGTTGCTCGGTCCCTGCTCCTGCCAACCTAGCAGTTCGAAAGCACGTCAAAGTGCAAGTAGATAAATAGGTACCGCTCCAGCAGGAAGGTAAACGGTGTTTCCGTGCGCTGCTCTGGTTCGCCAGAAGGGGCTTAGTCCTGCTGGCCACATGACCCAGAAGCTGTACGCCGGCTCCCTCAGCCAGTAAAGCGAGATGAGCTCCGCAACCCCAGAGTCGGCCACAACTGGACCTAATGGTCAGGGGTCCCTTTACCTTTACCTTTAGTACCTCCAGATGTTTGAGGATACAGCTTCCATCAGCCTGAGCCCTCACCTGTGCTCAGGTGAGGCTGATGGGAGTTGGATACTGAAACCTATGGAGAGCACACTGTTGGCCAACACCGCCTTATGCAATTTAAATCAACAGCCTCCTGGCTGGTAACCATTCAGGCATTTGTTCATTCTCCCTCCCCACCTTTGACCTGGATTTTGTTTAGCCACACAAGCAGAAAAGCAGGCCAGCAACAACTGAGCCAATGAAAGGAAAGAGCTGAGATGCCCATCGCTTTGATTGGTCTTCAGTGGGGAATGGATGGAGCCCGGGACTGCTTCGTGGTTGAGTGAGGATTTGAACCCAGGGCCCTGGCACTGTTGTGAGTTTGTGAGGGGCCAGATCCCCCCTAAATTCCTGAGTCTAATAAAAGCTAGAATGAATCAGTGCTTGTTGGGTTAAGGTGGAAGCTTTCCGTGACCACCTGGGAGAGGAGCCATTGAGAAGAACCATCAAGAGGCCATTACTGAAGTCATGGTCCAAGTCATGGACCAAGTGACACAGAGAGGGAGAGAAACCATCAGCAAGGCTATGTACCCCATCTTCCGCTCCAAGTACTTAGCAAAACACAATGCCAGAGCAGAGTGGGAGAAGTCTCAGGTTGGCAGTTTGGATGATGTAAGCAAACAGGAGAAAAATATCAATTTTGCAAGTTGGGGTGGGGGGCAAGGAGAAAAGGGGCTGTCTGTTTTAGGCTGCACAGAGGGTCAGACACGATGTTTGGGGTCTCTGGGAATCTGAGACGGCAGCACTGGAAGGAACAGGACCTCCTGGGATGTGAATGCCATCTAGACCAATCTCGCCATCTAAACCCAGGTTGTATACAGTGATACCTTGGTTTACAACCATAATCCATTCCGGAGGTCTGATTGTAAACCAAAGCAGGTTGTAAACCAAGGCATGCTTTCGCCAATGAGGCCTCCCCCCCAAAAAAAATTGGTTGTAATAATAATTAAAAAAAGGGTTGTAATCCAAAAAAAGGGACACACATTTCAGGGTTTGATGTGGTTCTAATCCAAAATGGCTGTAATCCAAAACTGTTGCAAACCAAGGTACCATGGTAAACAGTGGTACCTCGGTTTAAGAACAGCCCTGTTTACGAACTACGGTATTCGGTTTACGAACTCTGCAAAACCGGAAGTAGTGTCCCGGTTTGTGAACTTTACCTCAGTCTACGAACGGAAGCCAAACGGTGGAAGGGGTCTGGCGGCGGGAGGCCTCATTAGGAAAAGCATGCCTCTGTTTAAGAACAGTTTCGGTTTAAGAACGGACTTCCAGAACGGATTAAGTTTGTAAACCGAGGCACCACTGTTTGTGCAAATAAACCATATAACATAAAGACACCACAGTCTCCGCTGAGCCTCCTTGTCCAAAAGGAAACACAGGCCCCCTGGATCTCACAAGGCTTGGAAATCGGGGTGGTGGGTGGGTGGGTAACAATATTTAAAGGCACCATGCAGTAGACTCTTCCTACATTGCTTTGTATCCACTTGGACGGAGGTAGATCAGTTCTGGGACAGCCATGCAGGAAGACAGATTATATTTGCTGTGTTTCATTTTAAAAAATAGATTTAAAGCTGCTTGTGCTTTTGGCATCTCCAGTGAACTAATGTGCTTTGCCTGGAGTATATTTTCAACCATCTACCCTACCATTATTTTGTTATTATAAATAATTACATTCTGACCCACTCTCCTTCCAAGAAACTCAGGGTGGCAAGCATGGCTCCCCCTCATTAGTCTCATGACAGCCCTGCAAGCTCAGCTCGGCTGAGAGACTGTGACTGGCGATTCATGTCTAGGGCTTGGAACTGGGGTCTCGCTAGTTCTAGTCTGACACTACTCTAACCACTACACTGCACTACCTTCCTGCCAACATTCCCACAGAGTGGAGCACTGGGCAGATTTGGAAATGTCTCCTCCCACACCAGCTGGGGAAGCCTCATCCTCTGTTACCTCCGAGGATGTAGACAGGCTGCTTGCGCAAGTAGAACCAACAGCCCGTCTTCTCAGCCCTTGTCCATCCTAGCTCATAAAAGCGAGCTGGGCAGAGCTGGGCAACAAGCTCCATGGGGTGGTGAACGCTTCCCTCTGTGAGGAAGTCTTCCTGGAACCCCTTAAAGAAGCAGTTATTAAACCATCTTTGGAGCTGGCCACTATGGCCAACTGTTGCCCAGTCTCCAGTATTCTATTCCTGGGCAAGGCAATCAAGCAGAGAATCGTGGCACAGCTCCAGGCATGTCTGGAGGATGCAGACCATTTATTTATTTTAAATATTTATTTATTTGGAATTTCAACAAGACATTTTATCAAAAAAGACATATCAATTCCCCCACCATTTCCCCCCTCCCCCTCCCCATAAAGTAACCCACCCTCCCCCCTGATTTCCCTCTCTCCAGTGGCGTAGCGTGGGTTGTCAGCACCCGGGGCAAGGCAAGTAATTTGCGCCCCCTAACCCGTGGATTTGTGCCCCCTAACCCTAACCCCCAGATGTTGCGCCCGGTGCGGCCGGGCCCCCCTGCACCCCCCACGCTACACCACTGCCTCTCTCTGGTTTATCAACAAATGTTATTCTCTGCATGCTACACAATTGTATAGATCCTTAATTTATCTGACTGGCTATTGTCAATAAAAAGTTTGTGATTGTTTAATCAAAACCTGCCAAGGAGTTCAGTTCACTTTGTTGTTTCTTTAAGTGCTTTGTAAAAGGTTCCCATTCATCTTTAAAGTCACAGTTATCCTTTTTTTTTTTTTTAAATCATATTTATTAAAGTTTCCAAAAATATAAAAATACAAAGAAAAAAGACAAAAGAAAAAAGATATTTAAAAGCCTTACTTTCATTCCCTACTTTCTGGGACTCCCCCTCCCCCGAGTGTATTCCCCTTTCCTTAATTTGGTTCTACAAGCTCTCACTCCCAATTTGAAAGCTTAATTTGTTTAACCCACTATCCAGATTGAATTGTACAAATCTTACCACCGTCCCACATCATTAACAGAAAAAGAAAAAAGATTTTCCCCAAGATCCACCCCAATTCCTTCCACAAATTCCCTTTTTTTAAACACGTCCGATCAAAATAAAATAACATGCGTAAGTTATGTAAAGAAATAAACAATAAGAGATATAGAAAAATTCAAAAATGGTTACACAGCCTTTGGATTTCAAATCTCCCCCTTCCCCGGTTTGAATTCCCCATGTCCATCAGTCTATACATTATCAGCTTGGAAGTCTCATTTCATGACCAGATTTCTCCCGATTCCATCTTGCCGGTTTTCTTTTAGTTTATTAATTTAAATAATATTTGACTTCAAATGTCCAATCTAACAAAGGCCTTTAATTTCCTTGATCTTTACCACTCCTCCCGTTGTTCTTTCCGTGTCGTAATCAGTCCTTTATTCTTCTTATTCCTCACTTTCTCAGGTTTCTTGTCCTGTTCAGCTGCTAAAACTTTCTAATTCAGAAATCTAGTGTCTCTGCAGAGGTTTGTTATTCAGGAACAAAAACTTACGTCCAGTCCCTTTCTTTCTTCAATAAAAATTCCATTGTCTTCCTCTGTAGACAAAATACTCTTTCAGTTTTGCAGCTTTCCCAGAAGATAACAAATCCTGTGCGAATCCCAGGGTATTTTTCCACTTACGACCGTTCTTGTAGTATCCCGAAACCCCTCTAGGGGATTGTAATAACTTTGTATCCTCTAATCCAAAAGTCAAATTGTTGCTTATTTTCCAACAGTTTATATCCATATTATAGCAAATTGTAACAAAATTAACCAGCAAGATCCTCATAAAGTCCTCTTTATATTCTCCAGCTTTGACAGCCACCTTGACAGCTGTCAAAGTCTCCGTCTCTCTTCACCAGGCTCCACGAATCGCCCTGGTTCCCAGGGGGGGGGGTTGCATTTTTCTTCTCACCCTCCACTCTTCTCCTCCAGCACATTTCTTATAATTTCCCATCGTGAAATTAATGATTTTTATCAGAGACATACTTCCCTTTGGACCTTGGTTACCCAGTCCTTGTTTTGGAATGCTTACAATAGGGGGATTGACTTCCTTTTAAATCGCCCCGCTCGTGCCAAATCCAAAATTTTGAACCCGATTTCCAATTACTCACGGGTTGTTGTTAATAGTCCAAATTTTCAATAGAAGAAGTCAGCGCTCTCCGTCGAATGGCATGCGGCTGCGCTCGGCAGGGAAAGCAGTGGACTCAAGCACCACGCCACTCCCGGCACCCGAACCGACGCCTATAAACAGGCTCCGTCACGAGTCGGGAGGGCGCTAAGGGTGCAAGCCGAGTCACCCCGGTCCACGGACTCCGTGCCCGTGGTTTTTAAGGGTCCCCGCGTCGCCGGCGCGGTAGGACCCAGCCCCTGCTGAGCAGACTCCCTCCGGAGCTCGGAGGGAGTCCGCCATTCGGCGATGGCGCTAACCCGGAAGTCCTAAAGTCACAGTTATCCTTGTCCCATAGTTTGTATGTCAGTTTTGCCAATTCTGCGTAGTCCATCAGTTTCTCTTGCCATAATTCTTTAGATGGGATTTCCTCGTTCTTCCATCCTTGTGCTATTAAGACTCTTGCCACCGTTGTCACATACATAAAGATATTTTTCACTTTCCTTGGCAGGTCTTTTCCTGCAATCCCTAACAAAAATGCTTCAGGTTTTTTAACAAATGTTAGATGGAACATTTTCTTCAGCTCGTTGTATATCCTTTTCCAAAACTTTCTAATTTCATTACAGTCGAGGATGCAGACCATTTAGACCTCTTCCATTCAAGTTTCAGGCCCCAAAGTGTCTGTTTTGGGTGATGTCACAGTTCCTCATAGCATCCTCTCGCTCTTGCCTGCAGCTACTGTGTCATTGCAGCAGGGGTCAGGGGACGGCACATATTATGTGGCTTCTGAATATATTTTCCTTTCCCATCTCCCAGGAAATCTTCCTCAGTGGCCTTTCCTGGTAAATGGTTGCTTATGATTTTGTCCATCTAGATTACTTACCTGTCCCAAATGTGCAAAGAATTACCATGATCTTGCTTCAAAACATAGACATGTGCATCACGCCATGGAGATTGCAACCCTTTTGTGGACGGGCACCTCTCCTGTACTGTTTAAATCCTGTGATTTAAACTGCCAGCCAGGACAACCCATCAGAATAGGTACCAAACAAAAGAGGCTTTCAGATCATTTTGACACAGGCAACTTTAGAAGAGGGCACCAGAATTTCCCCTTTTCTCCACAGAAAATGCAGGACAGCAGGATGTACCAATTTTTATAAAATACAGGTGAGGAACTTCAGTCCAGAAAGCCAAATGTGGTCCCCAAGACTCCTTTGTGTGGCCCTCAATAGGTTTCCTAGCCACACACCCCTCACTGGTCCGATTTCACATCTCCAAGTGTTCTTGCCCAATACTACCTGCTTGTCTAGAGCAGAGGTTTTCAACCTTTTTTGAGTCCACAGCTCCCTTGACCAACTACATTCTTTCTGTGGCACCTATGTGGAGCTCAGGAATTATATCACCCCTTACCTGCATCTCACCCTTTTTCAAACACCCTCCCTTGTGGAGTGTTCCCTCAGCTTCTTCTCCCCTCTCCTTGGGAGTCCTCTGGGCTGTCGCTGCCACCATCCCTGGTTTCTGAACTGCACCCCCCCTGCCCCAAAGTGAGGTTTGCCCCACAGGGACCTAGGAAGAGGATGTCCCCAGCCTTAGTGACCCAACAGAGACTGGCCAAAGATTAACATAAGACCAGCACTTTGGGAGGTAACAGTGGCCCCTGCCAGGTCTGCATGGCAGAAAGGCTTCAATACAGAATACCTTTGTTCTTCTTATTTTAGTTGTAGCATATGGCTTGTAATGTGTGAAATTTATATAGTTTTCATGTACAGAGGTCATTGTTTCATATTTGAATTCTTTTGTAGTTGTGCTGAAGAAGATTCCAGTGAAACAGTCAGATTATCCGGGATCACTGTCCGTTTTTATTCACCTACTACTTTGGCACCATAAATGCCTAAAAAAAGTTTTACTGCTTAGCCCACAGGATAGCATCCATTACTTTGTTTCAACCATAGACTTATTATACTTCTGCGGACTTTCAAAGATTGACAGATGTGTGTTCAATTGATTTCAAATATATTAGAGAATTTACAAGTGCACACATTTTGTTTTTGTTACTAAATCATGTACCGTATTTTTCGTTCTATGGCACCGTCCATAGAACTTACAGTTGCTGGGAGAATACAAAATAGTCCACCAGCTGGCTGCCGCCCAGCCTTGTGCACACTTGCAAGCATGGGCACCCTCTGAGGGCTCCGTGCCGGGCGACACTACCGCCTCAGCCTCGCGTTAGGCAGGACCTCCTGCTGGGCACGCAAGCCTGCAGACACTACCGGGCTGCAGGCTTGCCTGCAAGCCTTGTGAGCCTGCGGGAACTCCACCGGGCTTGCAAGGCTGCAGAAATTGCTGCAGCCTGGAGAGCGAGAGGCATGGTGCACGGCCCTCACTCTCCAGGCTTCAAAGCTGCAGTGCTTCATGGATGTACACAATTCCTTCAGTTTCGGAGGTTAAGTACGGACCTATGGAGCGAAAAATACGGTATATTATGCAATAAGAATTACAGTGCTATCTAGTATACTGGTCTCTGTGTTGCTTGTATTGTTTGTTGTGGCAGAAAGGCTTCAGCAACGGGCACTCGGCTCCCAGGCAGGCCTTGCACACAGCAAGCACAAAAAGACCAGCACACTGCCTGCCTCCCTTTTGTCTGTCTGTTCCCAACAGCAAGGGCTGGCAGACTAGATGGCTGGGCTCCCACGCCCACTTGCTTGCTCACTCCAAGGCCGCCTTGGCTCCTGGCAACCCCCTGGCCAGCCCCAGAGGCAACCATTCACCTGGGGAGCTTGCAGCCAGGGCTGCTACAACAACCGGCCGTGCAAGCCTTCGGGAGGCAGAGACATGAGAGGGCATCAAGGAGGGAGAGAAGGAAAGAAGGACAGAGGCCAGTGTTGCCCATGGCACCCCAAACCATCATTCAAGGCACCCCAGGGTGCCACAACACACTGGTTGAAAACCACCAGTCTAGAGTCTAGACCAGCCTTTCTTAACCTTGGCTTAACTCCCATCACCCCTGACCACTGGTTCTGCTAGCTAGAGATGATGGGATTTGCAGCCCAACAACAGCCAGGGACCAGAGGTTGAGAGAGACTGGTCTAGAGGGAGAAGTGAGTGGGGGTTTTGAGTGTGCCTAGGGGACGTGGGTGGCGCTGTGGGTTAAACCTCAGAGCCTAGGACTTGCCGATCAGAAGGTCAGTGGTTCGAATCCCCACAATGGGGTGAGCTCCTGTTGCTTGGTCCCTGCTGCTGCCAACCTAGCAGTTCAAAAGCACCTCAAAGTGCAAGTAGATAAATAGGTAACACTCCAGTGGGAAGGTAAACGGCGTTTCCATGCACTGCTCTGGTTCGCCAGAAGCGGCTTAGTCATGCTGGCCACATGACCTGGAAGCTGTACGTCGGCTCCCTCGGCCAATAAAGCGAGATGAGCGCCGCAACCCCAGAGTTGGCCAGAGTTGGTCAGGGGTCCCTTTACCTTTACCTAGAAAATACCCTACTGTTCTAAGGCAATATTTATATTTGTTGCCCCGCCCACTTTTGCCTCTGGCTCCACCCACCATGGTCATGTGGGCCACAGAAGGCTCTCCAGTAGGGAACGAGGCTCCTGGACTCAAAAATATTTCCCCTGACTGTTACAAACTAAAACCACGCAGGCAGTTTTGGAAGAACAGTTGAGTTTATTCAGACTTGTTGCAGGACTACAGGGACGCAAGGCGAAATTAGAGAAATTTGAGGGCTCTGATTCTGAAGTCTCCTTCCACCTTGATGTAGCTGATGGTCTTCAGGCCCAGTCGGTTGGGGAAGGTGAACTCGTGACCTTCTGCCAGCTTCACCTTGATCTCCGCAGAAAGAAAAATGAAGGAAAGCTGGAAGAAGCAGGAGGAGGAGTCGTGAGAAAATCAGGACACTAAACACTTTACATGCCCTCAAAGACTAAAAGGAATGGCAACTACTGCATAGACATTGGGCATTCAGCATTTCCATTTCCTGTCTGAGGCTGCTTCTACCCAAGTGCTTTACATTTCAGCCGAGTCTGAGGCACTTCAGAGCCCAAGGACCAGAGTTATCTTAATCCATGGGTAGGCAAGCTAAGGCCCGGGGGCCGGATTGCCTTCTAAATCTGGCCTGTTGGCGGTCCGGGAATCAGCGTGTTTTTACATGAGTAGAATGTGTCCTTTTATTTAAAATGCATCTCTGGGTTATTTGTGGGGCATAGGAATTCGTTCATCCCCCCCCCAAAAAATATAGTCCAGCCCCCCACAAGGTCTGAGGGACAGTGGACCGGCCCCCTGCTGAAAAAGTTTACTGACCCCTGGACTTAATCCCTCATGTTACAAACAGGATAAGATGGGGAGAGGGGTGTACCATATTAATGTTTAAACTTGTGAAAATGCTCGCTACACAAAATGTTACACAAAGATTCCTGCATTGTAGGGGGTTGGACTAGATGACCCTCAGTCTCCCTTCCAACTCTACAATTCTATTAGAACAACAGAAGGTATCGCCCAAGCCACTGTAGCAGCCTTGCATTTTGCACACAGAATTCTCCCAATGAGCAGCCTCACTGCAGCTACAGTGTTTGCTCAGGCCAGATGCAAACTGATATACACCCAGAATTAAGACAGAGTTGCTCATTTGTACTGAAGATGCATAATTTGCATAAAAATTACCTCCATCTATATTTTTTATTTTGCAGGGCCTCCTCCAAGCTTGGAGTGGAGCTGGTACAGAATGCAGAGCTAGAGATAGAATCACAGGAGGGAAAGAACCTGTGTGCAGAAAACTAGCTTCTCAGGAGGGCCAGGCTAGAATCCTTACATGCTAGTTTTTTTATAGGCAAAGGTGAGCTGGCCTGTGCACATATTTTTTAAAAAATAAAAGCACAGAAGTCTTATTCAGTCAAGCCAGTCTTCAGACACCTGCATTCCAGTTCTACACATATAAACTGCATTTTTGAAAGGAGGAAGGTCTTCCTTCCACACCCTCTAAGGCAGGTAGCCCCAAACTCGGCCCTCCAGATGTTTTGGGACTACAGTTCCCATCATCCCTGACCACTGGTCCTGCTAGCTAGGGATGATGGGAGTTGTAGTCCCAAAACATCTGGGGGGCTGAGTTGGGGGTGCCTGCTCTAAGGAAAAGATACCTGGGGTCTTCCAGATGTTCAGGTATTGCTCCCATGCCTGATCATTGGCCATACTGGCTGGGGTCGATAGGAGTACAATAATAATAATAATTTTATTATTTATACCCCGCCCATCTGGCTGGGCTTCCCCAGCCACTCTGGGTGGCTTTCAACAAAATATTAAAATACAGTAATGCATCAAACGTTAAAAGCTTCCCTAAACAGGGCTGCCTTCAGATGTCTTCTAAAAGTCTGGTAGTTGTTCTCTTTGACATCTGGTGGGAGAGTGTTCCACAGGGCGGGTGCCACTACCGAAAAGGCCCTTGCATGAAGGCTGCAGGCCTCCCAACTCATGTCCTCTGCAGAGGAGCCACTCCCTTGCCTGCTCCATTCGCACACAGACCTTGGATAAGACTGCCACACCCTCACCTGAACTTTGGCACCTTGTTCAAAAGGGAAATCGGTGATTCTCTGTTCTTTCCCCCAGACGCTGTCCTGCAAGGAGTTGCACACGATGGTGTTCAAAATGGTGTTCTCGTCCGTCTGGTAGTCAAAGCGGGGGTTGAAGTGAAGAACGAGGTTGTTGCGATCACGGCCCAGATTCACGACAAAACTTGAAGAGGATGGAAAACAAGAGCGTGGAGGTTAAGGCTTCCTGGACTTCTGTATAAACAAACAACAACTATGCAGCCCCTCTCCTGGGCATCTTACCTGTATGCCAAACAGTGAGAGCATTTAGTGCTGTATTTGGGCTTCATGAGAACAGTAGCTTTAAAAATAAATAGAAATAAAGCCTGGTTCTATTGCTCATGGATGCAACAGAATCACACAGGAATTAGCAACCTAGTGCAGCATACAGTGGTACCTCGGGTTAAGTATTTAATTCGTTCCGGAGATCTGTTCTTAACCTGAAACTGTTCTTAACCCGAAGCACCACTTTAGCTAATGGGGCCTCCTGCTGCCGCTGCGCTGCCAGAGCACGATTTCTGTTCTTATCCTGAAGCAAAGTTCTTAACCTGAAGCACTATTTCTGGGTTAGCGGAGTCTGTAACCAGAAGTGTATGAAGGCCAAGATACCACTGTATAGACCAGAGTTTCCCAAACTTGGGTCTCCAGGTGTTTTTGGACTACAATTATCACTCATAGGTCCTGCTAGCTAGGGATGATGGGAATCCAAAAACAGCTGGAGACCCAAATTATGGAAACCCTGATATAGACTGTTGGGGTGGCAGGATAGACCCCCAAATCTGCTTCCTTCGCCCATGGCTCTTAAGTGCCTGAACACAGTGGTATCCCAACATTTCCCCTCCCTCCATGGGTCACTTGAGAATCACTGCAGGTCCACATTGAGAACTTAGTGATTTTTTTCCTGCGTGTTGTAATGTGCTGCAACAGATGCTGTAGGATTTTGAATTGTGTTTTTGCTGACAGGCTGAGGGCCACCTGAACGAAGCTCACAGATCAGAGTTTGGAGAGCCCTGTCGTGCAACAGGAGTCACAAAGTGTGCAATATAGGATTCTCCACACTCCATCCTGGGACTGTGAGTTAAACCACAGAGCCTAGAACTTGCCGATCAGAAGGTCGGCGGTTCGAATTGCCGCGACGGGGCGAGCTCCCGTTGCTCGGTCCCTGCTCCTGCCAACCTAGGAGTTTGAAAGCACATCAAAGTGCAAGTAGATAAATAGGTACCGCTCTGGCGGGAAGGGAAACGGCATTTCCGTGCACTGCTCTGGTTCGCCAGAAGCAGCTTAGTCATGCTGGCCACATGACCCAGAAGCTGTACGCCGGCTCTCTTGGCCAGTAAAGCAAGATGAGCGCCGCAACCCCAGAGTCGGTCATGACTGGACCTAATGGTCAGGGGTCCCTTTACCTTTACCTATTATACTAACTGAAGCCATGCTGATATGAACAGCTTGGGGGGCAAGCAGGTGAGATAGCAACTTCTCTGTACTCCAAAGCAGTAATATGAATGCACCACAAGAGTCTCAGGACGCTTTCCTCCTTCTCAACTTACTCTTTGGCATCCGACGAGATCCTCCCTTTCACTTGGACAGTGTCTCCGTGCATAAGGACAAAATCCGTCGCAACCAGCCCCTAGGGAAGAGGGAAACACGTCTTCAGCTGCGATGGTGGAATGATGAGATTTAGGAGGGAAAGGGGCAAGAAAGTGAAGGCTCTTACATTCATTGGCTTGGCGTGAAACCGGGTCCATGGATCAATGAGGGCACTTCCTAATACCTATGGGACAGGATAAGAGGAAAGAGTCGCCAATAAATCAATAGGCAGAAGCACGGAGAATTTCATTTGCTACAGACAGTGTTGGGAATCCAAGGCTTGCCAGATCTTTAAGACTAGCAGCTTGCTAGTCCCACAAAGCAAGCAATTACTTCTCCCTCCTGCCATGTTATTCCCATGTTAAACCTCCAATTAAAAGTGCTGCTTCCACTAACTCTTATAGGGAAGCCTAAAGACGCTGTAAACAAACCACAGATTATTATTTTTTGCATACCCACTCAAACACATGAATGAATGAATTTTATTATTTTGGTCACAGACCAGTTCCAGCCCACATACAATATCAAGGAAATCATGAAACACGTTAGGGGTACATTTGAATTTGCAATGAGGTATAACAGGGACAATACAGATATAGGAACAGTTAAAAATATATAAAAATTAAAACTTAATCACTAACATATAACCTAAAATTATCATTTAAAACCTTAATCATTATAATAGCACAGCTTGTTCCTTAGGTTTTATGGCAATCGCAGAGAATTTGGCCACCCTTAACGTGATCTCAGGATCCTTGTCCTCTACCAGGGATTTTAGACATTGAAGTTCAGATTCATTTGGAGATTTTTTTTCTCAAACACACATTTCCAAGCCCTCTTCAAATCTTGCCTTTTCTGTGAAGCCTCAACACCCACCCCTTCTAGAAAGACTTTTTGAGTATGCTGAACTGCATCGGCATACATCCGCCTCCTAAATTACACTTATCTCTCCCACAGGTAGACGTTTGATTGTAAGCTCTGCGGGGCAGAGACCCTTTATGCTAGAAAGCACAACTGTATGGATAGCACACCATCATCAACAACAGAGGACAGCCCTACTAACGATGCACCAAGAATAGATTTTCAAGAACCCCAAAGCAAGAGAAAAAGATAAAAGTCCAGCATGCAATAGCGACACATACAAAATGTGTTTTTTTCCTAGCTGATACACCGCTTCCCAAAGAGACCTATTGATGCTTATAAGTTTCTGGCCTTGTTTGGGTCCTGCTGATTGTAAAACAATCTCAAGATCAATAATCTAAGAGTAACAGTAAAGAGGACTCACGGGATCCATGATGCAATCTCGCTCGGGTCCAGCGACGCCTTCTCCCTTCCAGTCTCAGTTCTGTGCCTCAGCAAAAGAAGTACCAGCCTGCTACCTTGCAAAAAGAAAGTGCCCCCTGGTGTCTTTAAGTAGCTGGGGGGGGGGGAAAGCACCACCTGACAAAAAGGATCTGCTGTGACTGGAGCTCTCTAGAAATGCAAGGAGGAGGAAAATCAGGGTCAACAAGCAACACAGCTGGCCTGCTTTGAACGCAGGAGAACGGTGATTACACTGGGGAACAAATTTTTTGTTGCATTGACACCTGCAGTTGTTGTAACCTAATTTCGATGTGCTGATTTCATATCTGAAGTTGGTTTTGTTCTGTAAGCTCTAGGTTTTTTTTGCAATTCATGTTTTTCACCTTTCACCATAATCTTCGTTTTTCATAATGCAAGAATTCAATATTTTATTAAACACATAGCCAAAGTAGTACAATATGAGTATAAATGTAAGTGACTTATAAAGCATTAAACATGACATGTATAGCATTGAAAATGACATGTATATCTATGTACAGTTGGAGGTATGCAAAAAAATGTATTGCCTTGGGATACGCAGTATACTGGGGAACAAAAAAAATTCCATTTTCTTTTGCATGAGATTTTTCAACTGTTCTTATATGTTCTTTCAATGCTGATATACATTCAAATCTGAAATCGATTTTCGTGTACCGGTACATGCTAGAGACACATTTTTGTCTACTTGAAGAAGCCATGGTCCATCTAAAAAAGACAAATATTTAGGTTTAAAAAACTGTAAAAATTAAGAAAAATTAAGCTTGCAATACAATAATTACCATGTGGTTAGGGTAGATCAACGTGTCAGTGTGCACTTATCACCAGTGCAAATATGACATATCAGCAAAAGTCGTAAACTGAAAGATAACTATAGTATGTACAGAAAAATCGATTTCAGATTTGAAATCAGCATTGAAAGAACATATAAGAACGGTTGAAAAATCTCATGCAAAGGAAAATGGGGAAAAAAAAGTTCCCCAGTGGCTGGTGCTATGTCTTCCTGCTGCCCTTCATTCACCTGGTACCCTCCAGATGCTTTGGTGGCCCCAGCTCCCATCAGGATTAGCCCTCACCTGTGCAGGTTGGGGTGATGATAGCTGTAGTCCAAAACATCTGGAGAGGACATCCTTGCCCCCACTTTTGCTCCCAAGAAACCCAGGATGACGTACATTGTTTCCTCTCATTCACATCACAACATTAGGCCAGCAGGCAACTGAGCCAATGGAAAAGGAGGAGTTAGAGCAGGGTCTCCCAAACTTGGGCCGCCAGCTGTTTTTTTTGGACTACAACTCCCTTCATCCCTAGCTAGCAAGACCAATGGTTAGGGATGATGGGAAATGGAGTCTGAAAACAGCTGGAGACCCACGTTTGGGAAACACCCTGTTAAAACACTTTTATTGGTCTTCAGTGTGGAAGGGCTGGAGCAGGGGTCAGCAAACTTTTTCAGCAGGGGGCCAGTCCACTGTCCCTCAGACTTTGTGGGGGGCCGGACTATATTTTGAAGGGGAAAAAATATGAACGAATTCCTATGCCCCACAAATAACCCAGAGATGCATTTTAAATAAAAGCACACACACTACTCATGTAAAAACACCAGTCAGGCCCCGCAAATAACCCAGAGATGCATTTTAAATAAAAGGACACATTCTACTCATGTAAAAACATGCTGATTCCAGGACCGTCCGTGGGCCGGATTTAGAAGCCAATTGGGCCGGATCCAGCCCCCAGGCCTTAGTTTGCCTACCCATGGGCTGGAAAATAAAGACAGGATTGTGGCTGAGTCCTGGGGAATATGAACCCAGGACTCACCTGTCCCAGCCTGACATGACTCTAACCACTACACCCCATTGGCTTCCTTTGAAAAATATATTGTGGCATAATATTTTATAAATATAAAGATCATAAATACAAACATTTCTATATATACAGATTATTTTTCAGGGAAGAAAATATTGGGTTGCATCTAATGTTAGTCCAATGCTAGGGGGCGGGCGGTGCGCATTGTAATTAATCGACATTGTTGACAGGTCGGTTAATTTCTCCTCATAGTTGGAGACAGACTCTTTACGTAGGCCCAGTGTAAGAGGCAGCAGCAAAAAAAAGTGTCAGCAGCAACCTTGCAGCAATGTGAATCGGCTTGAAAGGCATCTTCAGAGACCATTAAAAATCCCTCTGCCCTCGTGGGGTGCTGTTGCATCAGCTGTTGCAGATTCTGGAGCTGCCAGTTTTTCCAATCAGGTTCTGCGGCTATGCCTTTAACAGAAGCTGTTAAATGCAGCAACTGGGAGGTCAAAATGGCTTATCTCCCTGCTGTGGAAACCTTCACCTACTCATTCATATAGTTCAAGGCATTTTTAAAGACACGTCCGGACAGTTTCCTAAGAATAGAGTCACAAGTGTCCATGCCCGGTAAACATTTGTTTGTGATTTTGTTGCTTGCATATGCATTCACAAAATGACTAGCTGTCCCAATTCTGCAAAGGAGAAAAGCATTCCTATGCAATTCCCTCAAAGATGAACAGGTGAATTATTCCTTTAGATTAGCCTTTTCGGGGACAGAAACCTCCCCTGCACAACTTTGGTGACCTATAATGCTCTACTGAAACAGGGACAGATGCAGATCAAACTCAAGACCTGTGTTTTTGTATTTTTAGCTGTAAGCTGTCTGAAGAAAAGGCAGGATTGAAATAATATTATGGTTATTGTTGTTGTTGTTGTTTAGTCGTGTCCGATTCTTCATGACTCCATGGACCAGAGCATGCCAGGCACTCCTGTCTTCCACTGCCTCCCGCAGTTTAGTCAAACTCATGTTGGTAGTTTCGAGAACACTGTCCAACCATCTCATCCTCTGTCTCCCCTTCTCCTTGTGCCCTCCATCTTTCCCAGCATCAGGGTCTTTTCCAGGGAGTCTTCTCTTCTCATGAGGTGGCCAAAGTCTTGGAGCCTCAGCTTCAGGATCTGTCCTTCCAGTGAGGACTCAGGGCTGATTTCCTTCAGAATGGATCAGTTTGATCTTCTTGCGGTCCACGGGACTCTCAAGAGTCTCCTCCAGCACCATAATTCAAAAGCGTCAATTCTTCAGCGATCAGCCTTCTTCATGGTCCAGCTCTCACTTCCATACATCACTACTGGGAAAACCATAGCTTTTACTATACGGACCTTTCTTGGCAAGGTGATGTCTCTACTTTTTAAGATGCTGTCTAGGTTTGTCATTGCTTTTCTCCCAAGAAGCAGACGTCTTTTAATTTCGTGGCTGCTGTCACCATCTGCAGTGATCATGGAGCCCAAGAAAGTAACATCTCTCACTGCCTCCATTTCTTCCCCTTCTATTTGCCAGGAAGTGATGGGCCCAGTGGCCATGATCTTCGTTTTTTTTATGTTTAGCTTCAGACCATATTTTGCGCTCTTTCACCCTCAATAAAAGGTAATTATGGTTATTATGATTATATATATCAATAAAAGCTCTGCAGAGTTCTGCAGAACTTCCTTTTATCTTCTGGGATCTAATTGCACAGACCAAATCCCTTCTGTTTATTCATGTAAATGTTCGTCCCTGTTATTAATTGTGCGAGCAGCTGAAGGGAGCGAAGAGACGCTCACGGCAGAATCAAGACCCCTGTTTCCATCTGAGGCTGGTGGCATCACATCAGGCGGCTGGTTGTCACTTTGAATCTTTTCATTGATATACCGTATTTTTTGCTCTATAAGACTCACTTTTTCCCTCCTAAAAAGTAAGGGGAAATGTGTGTGCGTCTTATGGAGCGAACGCAGGCTGCGCAGCTATCCCAGAAGCCAGAACAGCAAGAGGGATTGATGCTTTCACTGTGCAGCGATCCCTCTTGCTGTTCTGGCTTCTGAGATTCAGAATATATTTTTTCTTGTTTTCCTCCTCCAAAAACTAGGTGCGTCTTGTGGTCTGGTGCGTCTTATAGAGCGAAAAATACGGTAATTTCTCGATTTTGCAAGCTGTGCTGTCAAGGAAAGGAGCTGGCACGTTAATACAGCTTGTTGGAAACAGGGAGCATCAAAGGATGTTATTTGGCTGCCGTCTTAACTGTACTTAAGAGGAAATAAGAATCACTGAAGTCAGGGGAGGATTTACTTCCAGGAAAGACTGAGTGGAATAAGTGGATGCTGGCAGACAGGTAAAGAGTATTTGCATGAGGCCTGATAGCAGCAGAGGCATACTGCCATTAATGCTGTAAGCATTAACTTTTCACAATACTTTTGTCTAAGCTATTGTTTTTTTAATTAATTGGCCAAGTGGCCCCAGTGCAGGGTCATTTAAAAATCGCTGGACAGGGTCCGCTGCCAAGTGTGGTGTTATATGCTTATAGCATTAGAGGAAATAATGGAGAGTCAAAATCCATTCCTAGCTATAAGCTGGCTATGCCCTGCCATTATGATATGCTAGATATGCAGGTATCAGAACCAGGTCCTTTTTTGTGGTGGCCCCAGGGCCGGATTTAGGTTTGATGAGGCCCTAAGCTACTGAAGGTCATGGGGCCCTTTCTATGTCCAGCTGTCCTTTGTCAACACCAAATTGTCACTGTTTTCGTGTTGAATAGATGCTATATGGTAATTTATGGACCTAATAGGTTTCTAAAGCCATTTGCACATGCAGAATGTAGGCACCCTATATATAGAAATGAGCAAACCCATGATATCTTAGGGAGCAGGCTAGCAGGTGGAGCCCATTACTCACATCATAGGAGCCTACACAACACAAAACACTGTTGCTGTATGTAGGTTTTATTTTATTTGTTTTTTATCTTGTATTTTGGAAATGTACAGTACATCCAGTTTTTTTTCCTTTAAATTTTTTTTGGGGAGGGGCAAAGAGAGTGGGGCCCTAAGCTATAGCCTGTTTAGCTTATACAGTGGTACCTCGGGTTACATACGCTTCAGGTTACAGATGCTTCAGGTTACAGACTCCGCTAACCCAGAAATATT